ATTCAGGGCTAAATTTGATAATGATGAATATAAATGATATAATTTTTGAGATCCAAAAGCCATTTCTGGCCCGCGAGCTGCCTGTTGGGCAGCGCTGTTGTAAGGCCAAAATGTCCTTAAAAATTTCAAAATTACTTTAAAACGCGAAAAATCCTGCATGATTGTTCATAATCCAAAAGCAGAATAGCATTGAAATGGCATAAAAATGCCAAAATTGTGCTCAACCGAAAATTAAGTCCAAACATGGTTTTAAATGTGCGAAAATGAACTAAAACACAAAAAGAGTCATCCAAATGTCATGCTAGTATTAAAATTAATTAAAATTTGCAACACCAAAATAGTCTAAAAAATAAATTATTTGTTCCCTCTAAAATAGTTTTACAGTTCAAAGAACAATATTCTATTTGTAAAACAACTGTATACTTATATCAAGATGGTAAAAATAACTACCTCTTTAAATTATTCGTTAAATTCAATTGATAATATCCAAGTTAAAATAAAATTATACTATCAACTGAACCATGTAAATTTAGAGCGCCACAAGAAGCTCGGAGCGCTTATTTTCTTCCTTTCAACATTACGTTGGACGATGAAAATATTGTGGAAGAGTTAATTGAAGTACCGTTAAACGGGGTAACATTGATTGCTTTTTAAAGTACATTCTTAATAATTTCTTCAGCAATGAATGTTTTTCAAATTTTATATTTTTAAAACAAGTACTGAGGATCCAAGAGTAAATTCGTTAGTAATATGTTTAACGGAAATTAAAGCATTTGTACTATTTTTTAGTTTTGTGACCGAACTTCAGTTTTTTGATTTGAGGTTACTTTGATAATGCTCGATGAATGTAGAAAAAAATGTGTGAAACTCAATCAATTTAGTTCTTTAAATATGAAACTTTGAATGAGTATATAATCAGAAAACATCATAAGCAATAAGAATACAACATTGAATTTGTGATGGCTATATCGGAAATATATTTCATAAGTGATCCCTAATAAAAATAACCATAAAAGATAGCTTAACAACGTGTTCGAGGTATCATCCAAACCATTTGTGGGATAGTTTACCCCTCCGGGTTACAGTTCGTTTATGGTATTTGTTTATTAGGGATGGTTTGAGTGCTTTTTCAAACAGCCGAAAACCACGAAAAAAATGTATTTTAATATTTATCTAGTTCGTTTATTTGGAAGGCTCAATCGCGTTAGCTTTACGGAGCTGATAATTCATTGTTCACTGTGTGTAACAAAATTCACTTAATTCTATGTCTAGTAGGAGTTGGGCCGATTACTCGCGGCTTACTCGAGGTTAGAAGGGTACATTTTCGAAGGATAGGATCAGGGGAGGAGCTTGGGGTAGGGTTTCGTTGTCTCATCAGAGCGTTGTCGCCAGTATGAACGGTAGTGCTGTTCTAGCTTCGTCCGGAGTTCGACCGGCTATGGTGACCAGTGGGCGACGATGAGACTCATCGAGACGGGGGGACAAGACAAACAAAAACTAATAAAGAGAGACAAAATACAAAAGGAATTAAATTCTTATACTAGACATTTGAAGAAAAACATAAACGGACTGCATATAGCAGAGATCACGGGTTGCCAACACGTCTCTGATAGGAACATAGGGTTGTCTTCCTTGGGCCTCAAGGGTATTCAAAAGTCGCTCTCTGGCGGCGTCATTATCCGTACATTGCCAAACTGCGTGTTCGATGTCATCGTAACCGTTTCCACACCGACAGATGTTGCTGTCCACTTGTATTTTAATGTATTTTAATATGTTTGTAAAATATGTAACACATATTATATGAAAACTATATACGATATCAACGGAAATACCTTAAGCTACAATATGGAACCAATGTTTCTAATTTGGAAAAAGCGCAGCGAGTAAATTTAATCTTTACATTACACTATCAAAGTTACCCGCATTATCAAACATACCCCGTTTTACGGTACCTATAAGTTTTTTTTTAAATCGGGATCCAACCGAGGATCCAACTAGACTTGGAAAAATCATTTCAACTTTCGGATTTGGCTATTGAACAGTTTGTCAGTAAGTAGGAACATACATATTCATCTCGTATACTTTAGTATGGTTTTCAGATAACAATATTTATTTTTAGAAAATGGCTACGATACCGCTTCATTGAAACTTATTGAACGAAAGAAAGTGGAGGCTTTGCTTCTGCAGCCATTACTAGCGGACAGAACGAAATCCATTGATGGACTGAATAAATGACGAATGTCTCAAGTAAATCCATTTATAAGAAAATTCTTTCTCTTTCAATGGAATAATAATGTTTTCTTCAATAATTTACTGGGTCTACGACCGGTTATGCAATCCCTAAAAGAAAATAATCTGCCCAATACTTCAGCAACAAACGAATCGTTATTGCGAACTCCACTTGGAGTACGATCGAGAAATGAATGGACGTCCCAAAATCTAATCTGCCGATCCAAAAAGGGAAACAAATATTGGAGAACTTCAGACATTTTGAAACCGATGGTTAATTCGGTAACATGTGCAGGTACAGGCAGGTCCATTAAATTCGTATCGCAATTCTCTAATAGCGAATTCGTTTATTAGGTTTTGCACCGTCGGGGTCAATCTGATGACAGTTCAGTGGTACTGTTTACGTGGACTTAGTCGATTTTTTCTTGGGTGGATTTTCTCGATAATTTTTCAGACTGCAGTGAGATGTAAACCACACTTCTGCAATGTCCACGACCAACATCATTTCAACGCGCTGTTCCTCGACAATTTTCAAGTTAAAATTCGGAAATTTTAGAATATTGTTTTTCGAAAAAAAAACGACTAAGGCTGTGAACCATTTGCCGAGTTAAATTTAACTCGTGGTTAAAAGTGACATTTCGAAAGTTATTTTCTATGTTCGAAAATCCCCGTGCTGTCGATCGACCGGTTTTCGAGCCACAGTTGTCAAAATTTAACTTCTTGTCTGTCAGAAGTAACCACGCTCGGATAGCAGGGTTAATCGATAACTTTCCATCTGTCAAATTTTAACCAAAAGTTACAATAATTCGCCAAATGGTTCAGAGCCTAAGTGCTTTTAAACTGTACCACTGAACTGTCAAAAAGGTTCAGCCGATTAACACTGAGTTCATTTGTGACGTCACGCTGCAGAACCTAATTATCGGGGTTGGAACCAGTTCCAACCCAGTGCGAAACCGAACTTTTTGTCAGTGCGAACCTCAACCTGAGCTAGGTTTTAAAAACAAACGAGCAAACTGACGTTCGTCAGAAAACAAGCAGACCCAATCTTGATACCCGCCCGCATAAACGCGAACCATAACTTGACCTTACCGATAATAATTATAATTTGTTTATAATCCCTCCTAAACTTTAACTGAAATGATTATGGAACTTTACATGAACGTTTGTGTGATAAAGTTTTAACCTTATGTATTATTGTTTTTTGAAAGCGGACCTCACAAATAATGGGTTGTTAAGAACCATTACCATTCAAAATTCTTGTTTTCTCCATACATTTTCGAAAAGAGAACTATATTAGAACGTTTTTACTTATGGTTTGAGAACATTAATGGTTATGGTTATGATAGTCAGTAAGGTCCATTAATGGTTTTGTATTATCGTTCAACTTTACGTGGAATATATCGTGAATTGGTAATCAGTAATTTACAGGCAACCAATTCGCGATATATTCCACATAAAGTTGATCGATGTTACAAAACTATTCATGGACCTTACTGACTATCATAACCATAACCATTAATGTTCTCAAACCATAAGTTAAAAGGTTCTAATATAGTCCTCCTCCCGAAAATATATGGAGAAAACAAGAATTTTGAATGGTAATGGTTCTTAACAACTCATTATTTGTAAGGTCCGCTTCCAAAAATCCATAATACATAAGGTTAAAACTTTATCATTAAACGTTCTTGTAAAGTTCCATAACCATTTCAGTTGATGTTTAGCAGAGATTATAAACAATTTTTAACCATTTTTGGTAAGGTCAATTTATGGTTCGCGTTTATGCGGGCGATCCAGGTTGGAACTGAATAATAAACGAATTCACTATAAGCAAGGTTCGCTATATCAGAAAGGGACAATATTTTGCATTAGACAGAAATTGATGAGTAATGTCTATGAAATTGAGCCAATGATTTTGATCGATGATAAGGAGCGATCCATTTATTATGTCACACTAAATTGAGGAAAAATTAACCCCCCCTCCCCCTTTCATGACGTTTTTCCCTTTTTCCTATACCTAATACATTCCCGAAAAAAAAATTACTACAATAAAGCAACGCAATTACTATGACTTTAACTGTTTAATTTCAAGTACATTAAAATTTATTGTTAAATTATTGTACGGGAGAAAAAATAAATTTCGATTTTTAACGTTACAATCTTCAATGCCCAAACAATGAAAACTAGTGTTCGAGAAAAATCAGTTTTTTTTATTGTTAAGATGCTTAACAACCCCCCTTTTTTACTGTAAATTTCTCATATACCTACCATGATTTAACGCAGTTTATGCGAGAGAATGTATTTTTCGCTTCTTTATTTAATTTATGGTAAACATTATTGTTTTCAAATAAAAATTAAAATTGTCTCAGGAAGGTCTTTTTTTTTATTATTTAAAAAGTACTTACAATTTCGATGTTCATTAAGATGAACTCGTGCTCACGCAGTCTAGCTGCCAAGCAGATCACATGCGCAGTAGAAATCCGCCGGGACGAAGCTCTTCACCAGCACGAAGCTCCAAAGAGAATCCGGATGTTCTTTTTCCTATCATTTTAGTAAACACTGATCGAATTCCACTCCGTTATTCGGACTTAGTGTAATTTTGACGAAAATTTGAATAGAACAAATGTATAAATTTTGAAAAACTATAAAATGCATAACATTTTATCTATATTCGTTTTGTAATATTTTTGAGTGCTCATTGCTGTGTGTTTGAAGCTATATATTTTGACATTTGCTATTGCGATCTTTTTCGATATTCTGTCGATATATCTCAGCTGTCAAATCCAGTTGTCGGTCTTTTCGTTCATGTGTGCTTTTCGCTTCAGCATTTTGTGAAATCCGTAAATTACTGTTTAATTATAAGATTATTGATTAAATCCAGTGAATTTACCCACGTAACATCGAAAAAATGGTAGGTGAAAGAATTTTAATCAAATATATCGGTTGTACGGTTCAATAAACTTGCTATTTGTGTATGAAACTGAGTGAAAAAAGTGTATGCCGGAAACATGCTGTTTCACACCCATGACCAAATGTTAGCTTTATGTGCCGTTTCTTGTATCCAGGGCTATTTGTGGTAAAATTTCTTCATGTAAATTAAATAGTACTTGTTTTAATGCAATATAATCACGTTAGATGGTATAATGGACATCGATTCGACAGAAAGTACAATTTCTTCTGGAAATTTCAATCAAACGGTGTGGGCGCATACTTGTCATCATTCTTCGGGCACTCACACAATCTCATTTTGTTTCCTACATACGCAGTATTATACGCCAGAATGATTCACCGATCTCTGCCGGCAAATCCGTTGGTTTAATATGTTTTAATTTATGTTCGTTTTCTTTATTTTCTTGTAGCAACCACAAATTGTACTGCTGAAAGAAGGTACTGATACCTCACAGGGAAAGCCTCAGCTCATATCCAACATCAATGCCTGCCAGTCGGTCGTGGATGCAGTAAGTACCTATCGATAGATTCCTTGAAGGAGAAAAGGAGAAAGTGGGGCAAGATGGCCACTCTAATGAAACTCGAGTAATATTCCACAATTTTTGCCAAAAAAATAATTCTTTATAAATGAAGATTCAAGGGTTGACCTTGCTTGAAAAACAATCATTCAAACTTGTTTAAATTCGTTAAAATTCAAAAGAAATTTCAATTCTATAGGCAAATTTTTCTATTTATGGGGTTTGATGGTTAGTCATATAGGACAAAAAGAGCACCAATATAATTGTAGGCATAAATAGCCTTTTTGTCGAAAATAAAATAACTACTATTAAGTCCCTATAGGGTAAAGTTATTTTTTTTTAACCTTGGTTCATTAGAATAACACATTCTTTCAATAAGTTTCGTGACATTTTACTTGAAGCTGGAATTTTTCCTAGCGGTGCCCGTTGTGTAGTAGTAAGCGTGATTGCCTCTTATCCCATACAGCCTGGGATCAGCCCCAGACGGCGCCGTCGGGATTTTCTGAGGCATAAAATCTCTGATCACGCATTTCTTCGGAAGGGAAATGAAGCCGTTGGTCCCCGGTCCATGAGTTGTTGGGTCGATGGGTATAGGGTTCAGGTGTGTGACATGCCTCCCTGACGTCGGTAGCATAGACCTTTTTGACGTTTAATCGGCGCACACTACTGCACCATTTAAATCGAACGAGTGCGAGCAAGAGGGAAACAGATTAGTGGGAAAACAAACCGTGCATTCATCCATGTGTGCTAGATAGAGAAAGGCGATTAAACGTCAAAAAGGTCTATTGGTACTCAGTACGGAAAACAAATTAAGGAAAAAAGAGAATTTTTCCTATGTTTTTAAATCTTTTGTCATAAATTAGTCTCAACTGGGCTTTATTTTAAACTTTAATGACCACCTTGACCAGTTTCGTTGTTTGTTGGGTATGGAATGAATTTAGAATGAATTTTGAATTGATGATTCTCATCTTGCCCCATTAAATATCAGATTTTCTAATCCTCATAAAAAATTGATTAAAAGCAAATTTGGAAATGGCACCTGCACGCAATATTGAACAAGGGTAACATTATGCTATTGTACTATGCGAGCAGATTTTTGAGGAAAAGCGAGGAAAATTCAACACGGCGATGAGTAAAATTTGTCTCATGGTTTCCTGTGGAAAAATCTGCCGGAAAATGAGGAAATTGACGAAAATTTTATTCAGTCTCGGAGTAGTACCAATAGGTACCAAACCAATAGACACAGTGAATTCAATCTTTACTTTTCTCAAATTCGGGAATTTTTCCCTGGAAAATCCTGGGAAAACATGAGGCAAATTTACTCATCGCTGAGTTCCTGCACTTTTGGCGATTATGAGTGAACTGAACTCAAATTTGAGTCGTTCTCATTCGCCGTGTACGCAATCTATCAGTGCCCTACGTTTTTTGCGATTTTGAGTGAAAACCCACTCAGTTGTGAGTAGATCTCATTGGCCGTGCACTATGTTAACCGATATGTAGGGTAGAGCACTACTTCGTCGTAATCGCCCATTTCCGTTCTGTTTCGGACGGAACTCAGCGGTCAAAATAAAAAATGGACTGTATAGTTTTTTTGTTTTTTACATCCGTACTCTACGGTAACTTTAATATACTGATCCTTTCTCTGCTGCCCTGCTCCAACCGGAAGACGCGTAACAAGAAAATCAAGTTAGGGAACTGTCAAAATTGCGCTTGAGGGATAGGACATCGACCTACTCTACACTGAATCAAAAATACAGGTTTAGAATTTTCACTTAACATCCTCCCCCAGGAGCCGGATGGCTCAACTTATCCGTTTGGCTGGTCCGTTCTGCATCTTCTATGGGTAGAACAGCAATTTGCGTTGTAGATCGCTTGTACGTGCCATTGTTAGTTCGTACGGTTACTACCCGAACAACGCCATCATTTCCAGGGTGAGTTTTGATAATACGCCCCAGTTTCCAAGTTTGCGGTGGCAAATTATCATCTTTCATTATCACCAACAGTCCTTCACGAAGCAACGTGGGAGTTTTGTTCCATTTGCTGCGTTTCTGTAGTCCGGTTATATACTCACATGACCATCTTCGCCAAAACGATTGCTTTCGTTTTTGGATCAATTGGTAACGAGACAACGTATTTTCCTTGAGACCATCGTAGAACGGTTCGGCTATAGCTGTCAATTCTCGGCCAACCAGGAAATGACCAGGACTTAACGCCTCATAATCCATCGGATCGTCGCTTTGTGGTATTATTGGCCTTGAATTTAGGATGGATTCAATCTGAATCAGCAATGTTGTCATCTCTTCATAGGTGAAGTACGATTCGTTCATCACCTTATACAGATGACTCTTCATACTTTTTACTCCGGCTTCCCAAAGTCCACCTTGGTGCGGAGCCTTCGGTGGATTGAAACTCCACGAGATTCCACGAGGCTGACAAAAATCTTCAAGCTTGTTCTCCAGCAATTGAGATTTCAGCAACTCTCGCAATTCGGCCAATTGTCGCTCAGCGCCGACAAAATTGGTTCCATTATCAGAAAACATCTCACTGACGTTCCCACGGCGTCCAACGAAGCGGTGCAATGCCCCCAAGAATCCCTCTGCAGATAAGGAACTCACAAGCTCAAAATGTATCGCCTTAGTAGTCATACAGACGAAAACACTAACGTACGACTTGATCGGTGTCTTCGACCGACCTTGCTTCAACAAAAAAGGGCCTGCGTAGTCTACTCCCGTTCTAGCGAAAGGCTGAGCAGCGGTGACGCGTGCAATCGGCAAATCACCCATAAACTGCTGTACATCCTTCGGCTTTAGTCTGAAGCATTTGATGCACTTCCCTAGGACGCGTTTGATCGTACGCTTCGCATTTACTGGCCAAAATTGTTGCCTGATTTTAGCCAATAATCCATTTAGACCGACATGTAGTTCTTCACGGTGGATTGCTTCGATGACAATATCAGTAAAGTTGTTCTTCTCCGGCAATATCAATGGATGTTTCTGATCGAGCGGTAGTATGGCATTCCTGATTCGACCACCCACACGCAGCAATCTCTCCGTCTTATCAAAAACAGGATTCAAATTTCGTAACTTACCCTTCACCGGTTCACCTTTCAAGACGCTTCTAATTTCATCGCGATACACTGCATTTTGTACAATCTTCACCATAGTGTACAGTGAGTCACGAAAATCTGCAATGTTCAATCTTCCACGACGAAATTCTGATTCGTTTCGCTTTGCACGACAATTACGGATAAACCGGGTTACGTAACCGAACACTCTTTGTAGTCGGCGAAAGTTACTACTGTTCTGAATCACTTCGTACAATCCTTCATCGGGCACTGTAACTACAGTCACTGAAATCGTCTCTTCACTCAAGTCTTCGGTTTCTTCATTTACTGTTTCATCAACTACACTTGATCGAAGAAATTCCGGTCCATTCCACCACAAGTCACTTTTCGTTAATTCCAAAGGTAGTACACCTCTCGACACCAAGTCCGCTGGATTTGCTTTCGTTCCAACATGTAACCAATCAGCATCGATGGTCAGTTCGCGAATCTCCGCAATCCGATTGCGGATGAACACTGGTTGGTTAGGCTTCGATTTCCTAATCCAACAAATCACTATACTCGAATCGGACCTTAGCACGACACGCGAAATGTCGATACTCAAGGTTTCGCGCACTGTTTTCATTTGTCTAGCTAGTAGTACAGCTGCACACAGCTCCAATCTCGGCGTGGTTAATTCTTCCGGTGGTGCTCCTTTCTTCTCCTTACGGTTCAGCTCCTTAAGCGGTGCAACTCTCGATTTGCCGCACAGTAGCTTTACTTCAACGATGCCATCAACGGTCACGCTACGCAAGTACACACAGCAACCATATGCTGCTTGCGAAGCGTCCGAAAACCCGTGCAACTCGAACACCGACGGATTATCAACGGTAACGCGACGAGGTATCTTCATGTTGTTTATTGCACACAACTCGGATCTTAATTTGTTCCACACCCTGAACTCTTCAATGGGAATCGGCTCATCCCAATCGATTTTCTTCCTCCATAGTTGTTGCATTACTATCTTCGCTAACACTATTGCTGGACCCAACACACCGAGAGGGTCAAAGAGTCTTGCGATATCGGAAAGCACTTGTCTCTTGGTTTGCGGTGCCGCACACTCCACCATCGGTTTCACTCGAAATACAAAGTTATCACTCACTGGGTCCCACAAGAGTCCGAGGGTTTTTATCACACCGTTCACATCACTTTCTTCGAAGCGCAGTTGCTTCTCACGGTCTTCTGACGGAACTCCTTCAAGAATCGCAGGATCGTTTGCACACCATTTATGTAGTTTGAAGCCTCCTCTTCCCAGTAAAACTTGTAAATCTTCACGCAGCTTCCGTGCCTTCTCTAGCGAATCTGCTCCGGTAAGTGCATCATCTACATAGAACGACTTCAAAACAACCTCACAAGCATCCGGAAAATCATTCTGTTCATCCTTCGCCAGTTGTACCAACGATCGCGTGGCCAAGAATCCAGCTGGACCAACACCGTATGTTACTCGGAGCAACTCCAAATCCAATATTGGTTGCGTCCGGTCATCCCGAAATAGACATCTCAAGTATTTCGTATGAGCAGCATGCATCACAACTTGCCTATACATCTGCTTAGCATCTCCAGTGAAAGCGTACTTCGGCAATCTCCACCGCAACACGATGTCAAACAATGGGCTCTGCACGACAGGTGCTTCCATCAACACATCGTTAAGCGATAAGCTCGTTGTGGTTTTTGCGGATGCATCGAACACCACTCGTAATTTCGTCGACGAACTATCTGGCTTCAACACACAATGGTGCGGAAGGTAATATGCTCCATTGACCTTAATCTCATCTTCATTCAAAATCTTCGCGTGTCCGAGATCTAGGTACTCATGTACGAAATCGGAATACATCTTCTTCATTTCTGGATTTCTATCCAGTCGGTTTTCCAGTGCTTTGAAGCGTTTCTC